TTCCTCCTCCTCCTCCTCCTCCTCCTTCCTTCCCTCCTCTCCCTTTCTCCTCTCCTCCTCCTCCTCCTCCTCCTCCTCCTCCTCCTCCTCCTCCTCCTCCTCCTCCTCCTGCTCCTCATCCTCATCCTCCTCCTCGTCCTCCTCACTTCCTCACACTCCTCCTCCTCCTCCTCCTCCCCTCCTCACTTTCCTCCCTCTTCATCCTTCCTCCTCCTCCTCCTCCTCCGCCTCCCCTCCTCCTCGTCCTCCTCCTCCTCCTCCTCGCTCCTCCTCCTCTTCCTCCTCCTCCTCCTCCTCCTCCTCTTCCTCCTCCTCCTCCTCTTCCTCCTCCTCTTCCTCCTCCTCCTCCTCTTGCCTCCCCCGCCCGCCCAGTCTGGGGGAAAGGAGGGAGAGATTTTCGCTTGGTCCCGCCAGCCAATCCAGGAAGGATGCCCAGGCGAGTCCCCTTGATGGGAACATCCTCACACAGATGATTGTTTGTCGACGTTGCTCTTGCCCCAAATTTGCGATTTCGCTACGGACATCCTCACACAAGTGCGATGTCGTCGACATCGTATCGGTCTCGGTCTTGCCCAAAATACCGATTTCGCTAAGGGCGTCCTCATAAGAATGACATGTTGTCGACGTCGTCTTAGAATCGCTTCAAGGCGGCCCGCGAAGCTGGTCAGGCAGTTCAACCCGGCCAGGCTGGTTAAAACGACCAGGCGGGTTGCAACGGCCATGCGGGTGGAAATGCACAGACGGGTTAAAGCGGCCAGGTTGGTTCAAACGGCCAGGTTGGTTAAAACGGCCAGGCCGGTTCCAGCGGCCAGCCGGGTCCAAGCGGCCAGGCTGGTTCCAAGTGTCAGGCGGGCCATTTCACGGCCAGGCGGGTCAGCACGGCCGAGGATGTCAGCGCGGCCAGGCGGTCAAAATCGCCAGGCGGGATAAGATGGCCGCGCCAGGCATGTTCAAACGGCTAGGCGAGTCAAAATCACCAGGCGGCTTGAAGCGCCCAGGCGCGTTGAAAGGGCCAGGCGGGTTAGAGCGGCCAGGCGGATTGAAACGGCCACGGATTTCAGCGGGGCCAGGCGGGTTGAAATGACCATGCCGATAAAACAGTCACGCGGTCTGAATGGCCATGCGGTTTAAATCGGACTTTGGGGTGAAAAACGGCCAAGCGGGTTCAAAGGCCCAGGCGCGTTGAAATGGCCAGGCGGGCTGACATGGCATGGCGGATGATACCGGCAGCGCCGCGGACATCTTTAATCCAATGAGCAATTTCCAATTTTGTCTGCTTACAAAGAATGCTGTTAACATCGCCGTGGAATCCCTCTTGAGGAGCCTACGGACGGCTCAAGAGGCCCTGAAGACAGCCTGAGAGTCTTCGAAGACGGCCCAAGAATGCCCCAAGACTCCCCAAGAATGTGACAAGAGGCGAGGTGAAGAGACGACGTAAGAGGAAGAAGAAGGACAGACAAGCCAGCGATCTCGCGCCATCACAAAGTAAGTTGCGCTTTCCGCGCCCGTGCCAAGCACGTTTGGTGGCATTCTGTCCATTCCGCGACCCTGCATGGGTCGTAATGTACAGAAGAGTATCCTGGGGGGCCTCTCGGAACCCTCTCTGAGGGCTCTTGTGGACCTTTTGGGGGCCTCGTGGGGCATCCTGGGGGTCTCCTGGGGGTATACTGGGGGCTTCTTGGGGGCCTTTGGGGAGCCTCTTGAGGGCCTGCCGGCGGTCTCGCGGGAAGTTTGGGGCGGGAGGCTCGAAATTTCCGCAAGCGTTCCCCTTCTTCGGGCTCTCTCTCTGGGCCGTTTTCGGGGCCTCTTGAGCCGTCCCAGGTCGATATTGGCGACGTCTTCGGTTGCCCGAAAAGGCGAGAATGCTGAAATCTCTCGGAAGCCCAAGGCAAATCAATGACTGTGGCCTCTCGGGGCCTTCTCGGGGGGGTATCTTGGAGCCGTCTTGGCCCGCTTGGAGGCCTTTTAATGATGTCTGGAGGCCATCTTAGGCGTGTTGGAGCGATCTTCGGGCTACTCGGGGCATTCTTTGACCGCCTTGAGAGGCCTTTGGGGCCCTTTGACTCGTCTTGGGCACTCCTGAAATCCATTTCGCTTCCTTAAAGCTCTAGAGCTCGCCCGGCGCGCGCCGGCCAATGGAGGAAGGATAACGACAAAACATTATTATCGCGGCGATGCCGGACAAAAAAACAAGGAGTTATCGCTAAATTGGCGGTTTGTCCTTCCTGTTATTCCGCTTGCATACCAAATGTCAAGGACCAAGGTGCATGGCGCGAAGCGCCACTGCAGTCTTGTATGTATATATACACATATATATATATATATATATATATTGAGACGGAAGAGTTGCTCAAATGATGCCGCCCCGAGGTCTGCAGAGGGGACAGCTCGCCGAGTGCAAGGCGAGACGCAGAAGCAGCGGCAGGCGAAGCAGCGGGTTCGAAGACGCGGACGCAGCCAACCGGAGGAGCCTCGAGTTTCTTGAGGGGGTACATGTACCCGTCGCGGTGACGCCTTCTTGCATCTTCTTTCTTTCCGTTTGTCCTTACTCCGACAGCCTCACTCTGTTGAGCCTCACTCTGTTGAGGCGGCTGTGCGGGTTCTCATCCCCCAGCCTTTCATGCTCTCCGGTCCACGACTAGCTGTAGCCTGCTTGCGCCCAAGTCGTGCAGGCGTTTGCCCCTACTTTTGGTCTTCATCGTCTTTTCCTCGCCGTCCTCACGCCTCTTCCTCCTTCGCTCCTCCCGCCGTGCCCCGCAGCGTGCTCCTCCGCCGCCTCCTCCTCCTCCTCTTCGTGCTCTCGGCCGCAGGTGACGCCTCCGTCCCTCCTCGCCACGCCCTGCATTGTGCTCTCCTCCGCCGCCTCCTCCTCCTTCTCCTCGCTCCCCCCCCCCGCCAGGAGGGGCAGCAGCAGCAGCTTGGCATCGCTCGAGCGTGTGCATTTTTTCTCGGCGAGGACCATCGAGGAGCGCTCTGCCCACCTTGGGAAAAAAACGCGAAAAAAAAACGCACACGAAACCGAGAAATGCACAGGGAGTGGACGTCCGAGCGATGGCGAGGCAGCAGGAGCAGCAGCAGCAGGAGGAGAGCCTCCGTGCTCTCTCGGCCGCAGGTGACCTCCCCGCGGCGAGGGCAGGCCGCCTGAGCACGCGACACGCCGCCGGCGGGCTGGTGTGGCACGGGCCGCGGCCGGGAATGCCAGGAGGACGTTGCGCCAAGGGCGCCCCCCGGGGGCGCGAAGTTGTGCTCTTTTCGCGCGTCGCGGTTCGGCTCCGGTTCCTCCTCTTCCTCCCCCTCCTCCCTCCTCCTCCTCCTCCTCCTCTTCCTCCTCTTCCTCCTCTTCCTCCCTTCTCCTCCCTCCTCCTCCCCCTTCTCCTCCCTCCTCCTCCTCCTCCTCCTTCCTCCTCCTCCTCCTCCTCTCCTCCTCCTCCTACTCCTCCTACTCCTCGATCATCCCTGCTCCTCCTCCTCCTCCTCGTCCTCCTCCTCCCTGCTCCTCTTCTCCCCTGGGGTGCGGCGCGAGAGCGCGAAGTTACTCGCGCTTCGCGCAGCGCGAAGCGCGATGTTGGGCGCCCTGTAGTCGGGAAGGCCAAGGGGGCGTTACACCCCCAGCAGGTTCACCCCATCGTCTTTGCTACGCAACGCCAGCACAGAGCAGCGCATGGGTGTCACTGATATGATGACCAGCCTAGTCGATATCATTGATATGATTACTCGTGTCGTGCATGTTGTTTGATGTTGGTAGCCCTAGCGGTGGGAATGAAGCAAAAGGGCCAGTTGGCACACCTTGCAGCGAGTTCAGTGCCATTTTGAGTTCAGCAGACGGCCTTTAGCCTCTGAGCATCTGGACTGGTAGATGGAGCTGCCCCGAAGCAGGGCAAGCGCCGTGCGGATTCCCTAGACAGATCGCATGGTTTTAGTCATGCGACTGGCAGTGTGTGAGCTTTGCCCGCGCGGCATGGAACCGGAAGCCGGAAGGGAATGAGAGAGGAGAGAGGGCGGGGAGGACGACGAGGAAGAGGAGAAGGAAGACGAGGAGGAGGATACTCACAGAAAAAAGTGGAGGATACACGGAGGTTGATAGGAGAGTAGGAGGAGGAGGAGGAGGAGAAGGCATCATCAGCATCATGCATCATGCATCATGCATCATGCATCACGCATCATCAGCATCAGCATCAGCATCAGCATCATCATCATCATCATCATCATCATCATCATCAGCATCATCATTACCAGCATCAGCATCATCAACATCATCATCAGCATCATCAGCATCATTAGCATCATCATTATTATCAGCAGCATCGTCTACGTCGTCGCCGTCCTCGTCGTCGCCACGGCAATCGCCATCATCGTCATCGTCGTGGTCGACAATCGCAGTCACCGTCGTCGCTCGCCCGCCCGAGCCATGGATCTGCATGGCCGCAGGGTCCGCGCGTCATTGCGCCGTATGAACTTTCGCAAGTTCCGACGGGCAATAGACCTCACGGCCATCATGAGTGTTGCCAAGATATTGAGGGCGGGTGTTTTTGTTTGTCTCTGGGGGAGGGCACCTTAGGCCGAACCCGTATGTTGCGCGGCATACATGTCAGCACCCAAATTGCATTTCAGATGATGAACCACATAGTGCACACATCGAGAGGACAACAATCCATGTCGGAACTGAACCGTAGCGTAAGGTCGCGCTCGGGGTTTTCACAAGAGAACGGACCCGCCCACTCGCGGAATCCGGCGGCCCAGGTTCGGCGGATTTGGTTTGTGTGTTCGCTGGTGTCGGCGAGCACTGCGCAGCAACTGAACAAATAATCACATCCTGGAGCCTCCCGTGTGAGAACAGTACGCGGGAGAGGTTGGAGAGCAGCAGGACAGTACCAGGCGGGAGAGGCGAGTGCTACTCGAAGCGTGTACGGGTGGACGGAGTAGGGGGGGCGACGAGGGAGGAGCGTGTGCGGAGCAGTGGAGATGTAGGGGTGAGGAGGGGAGCGCTGGGGAGGATGGAAGGGAGGGGGCGCCATGCCCGCGTGTTTCCAAGCCGATGGCGGCCAGGAGCAAGGCGCATGATGTTTCTGCTGGCAGGCAGACTGGCCGGTCCAGCTTGCCCTCTTGACTTGGCTTGCACGTCTTTTGGCCATGCCGGCTCGTAGTTGCACGTGTGCCCACATCTCGCCGTGAAGGAAAGGGGTCCCGAGGAAACCGGATCTCAGTACCCAGGGTTTGCCCCAGGACCAGTTTTTCATTTTGAGTCGTTGTTTGGTGCTTCAAGGGGCCGTGGAGGACCCCGAGGACCCAAAAACGGCAAAAGCAGAACGGGACCCTTGTTCTACGGGACCCGCTTCCTTCATGCGCAGTCAGCCATCCGCCTACACCGATTTGTGCATATGCGCCGATCCTGGTCTCAGGAATTGGTGATGGCGGACAACTGGAGCGTCCCCGACTGTGTTCAAAGTCAAATCGGGCGCCATTTTCCTTCCAATTTCTCTGCCAGCAGTTCTGCTGAAGAAGCCAGTCTTGCCGCCAGCGCTACCGCCCCCCGGCGTCAGCAGGCGAAGGGCTCGCTGAAGTAACGAATCATGTTCCTCTTCGTCCTCTCCTGTTTCTCCTCGCTCTCCCTGCCCACCTCCATCCTAGCGGCGCCAAAAAGGGGGGTCGTATGCGCCGACATTGGCGCGTAAGCCGCCCGCACAAGGGCGCGCGCAAGCGCCCTCGCGTCAAGTGTGGCGTGCCGCGCGGGCGGCCCGCGTGAGCCACCACGTGAGATCGCTGCGTCGTCTCGCGCAGGGCCCCGTTTGGATCGTCGCTCACCCCTTCCACCCTCAGCCACCCCCCGAAGGATTGCAAAAAACCGAAGGATTGCAAAAAACCCAAGGCTTGCAAAAAACCCAGGATTGCAAAAAACCCAGGGTGTTTTGCAATCCTTCGTTGCAATCCTTGGTTTTTTGCAATCCTTCGGGTTTTTTGCAATCCTAGCCCTCTCGCTCCTCGTGCTCCTCGCTCCTCCGGCCTGCCCGGCCCACGGGGCCCCCGGCGCTCTCGCGCACGGGCGCGCTGGCCGCCCTCTCGCACCCCCCGTGTGCTCCGCCTCTTCGGCGTGGGCGCGCGCCGCTTTTCCTGGCAGCGGCAGCCCTCCGGTCACGGCCGCGCGAGCTCGCGACGCGGGTCATCCTCACAATCGTTCTGTGTTCCCCTTCCGGCTTCCTCCTCCTCCTCCTCCTCCTCTCTCTCATTTTCCTCCTCCTCCTCTCCTCCTCCTCCGTGATTGTCCTGATTCACCCGGGCCATCGTCAATAACACGAGTATCATTCTCATAAACAGCAACAACAAAAAGATCGAACTCATCACCATCTCCATCATCAGCACCAACATCATCAGCATCAACATCATCCTCATCCTTATCCTCATCATCATCCTCATCATCACTAGCATCTATCATCACCACCACCACCACCACCACCACCACCATCATCATCATCATCATCATCATCATCATCATCATCATCATCATCATCATCATCATCATCATCATCATCATCATCATCATCATCATCATCATCATCATCATCCTGATCATCATCATCATCATCATCATCATCATCATCATCATCATCATCATCATCATCATCATCATCGTCATCATCATCGTCATCACCATCATCTTTCTGGTTCGGCACGCTGGCCGTCTCCCGCGCCTGGACTAGAACTCCGTGTGGGATGGAATGCGACCCAGGCGGCGGCCGATCCTGGCTGCCGTCGGCGGTCTCGCGCTGATCGTTCCGCGGCGCGGGCGCCGGCAGCGCGGGCTGCCGACGCCGCGGTGGCGACTTGGGGGAGTAAGCGCGTGGCCAATTCCCAGCGCTGCGGCGCGTCGGCGGCCGCGCTGGGCGCGGAGCGCTGGCCGCTGCCCTGGGCGCTTCCGCGGGGGCAGTGGCGATGGCTGCAGCCAGCCTCGGGCAGTCGGTGCTGCCGCCTGCGCCGGCCTGCCCGAGCTGGCCAGCGTCGGCTGCCTCGAGGGTGAGCGAGCGCGCGCCGCTCGGGCCCCCCCGCGCGGCCCCTCGTGCCCGACGCGCTCGTGGAGCAGTTGGGAGCGCGGGTGGTGGCCAGGGGGCCACATGCGAACCCTACCCCATACCCCGCCCTCAGAAATCGGAGGGGGGGGGTAGGGGTACTCCAGATTTCGTAATAAAGGGAGGGGGGTCTCATTTCGGGAGGGGGGGTCTCTTCCAGGCTATCTTGGAGGGCCTGCGGGGTCTGGGGACGATGTTTTGGAGGGTTCTCCCACGGGGGAGGTCTGAAATGGCTTGTCTTGGAGGGTCCAGACCCCCTCCCTTTTATTACGAAATCTGGAGTACCCCTACCCCTCCCTCAGAAATCGGCGGGGGTAGGGGTAGGGTTCGCATGTGGCCCCCTGGTGGCACGCATCGGCGACGGCTCGAAGGAAGTCGAGGAGGGCGCGGTCGTGGAGCCGCCCGCCAAGGCTGCGGCGTCGGAGTCCGTCGTGGAGCAGGGCCTGGAGCACGCCGCGGCCGCGGAGGCCGCCGAGGAGCCGCCCTCCCTGGCCGCGGAAGGGCTCGAGCTCCTATCCCTTTGCACACCTCGCGCGTTGCGTGGCCTCCCACCCACCCACCCACCCAGCACAGAACAGTAACGCCCGTCGCCGGACGAAAAAAAAGGGCCGTCGCCGGACGCGTTCCACTCGTCGCGGCGCCGCCCGTCGCGGCCGCGCAGCCCCGTCGCCGGCCGGGCCCCGGAGGACGCGGACACCGCCGCGGAGCGGCCCCTCCGCGCGGGGGGCACCCCCGGCGCCGAGGGGGAGCGAGGCGGCGCTCGTCGCGGAGCCGCCCGTCGCGGGCGCGAGCGCCCTGGCCGTGGATCAGCCACGCGCAGAGGGGGGTGGGGGGAGGGGGGAGGGCTTCTTAGAAGCACCCCTGCTTCTCTAAGAAGGCGCGGGCCTTATCTACAGATGTAACGCCGGCGCCTTCTAAGAAGCAGCCGCCTGCTTCTAAGAAGCCCTCCCCCCTCCCCCCACCCCCTTGTGCGCGCCGCCAAGTGGAGATCGTCGTGGAGGCGTGCGTGCTGGCCGCGGCGCCGTCGTGGCCGCGGAGTTCGTCGTGGGGCAGGCCCTGGAGCCAAGGGCGCCCTCGAGGGCGCGAAGTTGCTCGCGCTTTGCGCTTCGCGGGTCGGCTCCGATTCCTCTGCATCCTGCTCTTCTCCCCTGGGAGGCGGCGCGAGAGCGCGAAGTCATTCGCGCTTCGCGCTGCGCGAAGCGCGAAGTTGGGAGCCCTTGTGGAGCACACCATCGTCGTGGAGTTCGCGGAGTTTTTCGCAGAGCCGCCCGCCGTGGCCAGGGGAGTGGTCGTGTACCCGGCCCTGGAGCTCGAGCTGGGCGTGGACATGGCCGCGAGTCTCGGCGCGGAGCCTGCCCTACACGGAGCTGGGGCTCGTCATCGCGGAGCGACCTGGCCGTGGAGCTCGTCATCATGGAGCCCGTCGTGGCGGCGGTCGTGATGCTGCTCGTCAGGGCGCCCTTCGTGGTCACGGGGGCGGTAAAACTGCTCTTCAGGAGGCCTTCCGTGCCGAACGTGCGGGCGCTGCTGCTGGCGCACCTGTGGAAGGCGATCGGCGGGCTCAGGGGACGCGCGCGTCGGCGCGCTGACAGGCCCACCCCGCCGCGGCCACCGCGACAAAGGCCGAGCGGGGCGGCGAGAGGTCCGCAGTGGGCCACGAAACGTGTGACGGGTGTGCCGAAATTGGTGGCGCGGTGATGATGACGATGATGATGACGATGATAATGGATTATGACGATGCGGAGGACAGAGGCAAGGGTGGGAGGAGGGGGGAGCGGGAGGAGGAGGAGGAGGAAGGCGAGGTGGGACGCGGGGCGATGTCTCTTCAGACGAGGACCCAACTCTACAGGTTGGTTGTGAAAAATCCAGACATCGGACACCTGACACAGGCAGTTGACGTGGATCCTCTCGTGTCCCGATGGGGGGGGCCAGCGATTTTCATAGCCACCGCCTACTGGGGGCCTAGAACATCGGCTCCCTGGACTGTGGACATGTATGAAATCTGGCCTCGCATTCCGCATCCTTCTCCTCTTGTCCTTCATCTGTCCTGTTTTCTTATCTCGCCTCGGCCTCCCCATCCCTCTCCCACGTCGTCGCTCCATTCCTGCTCCCTCCCCTGCTTCCACTTCCAGTCTGGCTTCATCGCCTCGGGGAAAAGGACGACGAGGTGAAGAGAGGAGGGATGAAGAGAAGTAGGAGGGGAAAGAGGAGCATGGGTGGGCATGAGGAGGAGGAGGAGGAGGAGGAGGAGGAGGAGGAGGAGGAGGAGGAGGAGGAGGACAGAGGAGGGAGGAGTAGGAGGAATAGGAGGAGGAGGAGGAGGAGGAGTAAGGAGAAGAGAAGAGATAGGAACAAGTAGAGAAGATAGAGGCAAGTTAGGCACGCTCGCGCCATGTCTGACATCCTACCCCTCCCACCCATCCCTTCCCAATGCGCTGATTTTTCTCTATCCGCAGACTCGTACCATAGCGGACCTGGAACTCCCAAAAAGACCTTTACCCATCGGTCGTTGAAAGTAGATATTCTGGGATTCCCAGAACCCAATCTACTTTCAGCGCCTTCCTAGTTCAAGAATCGATAGGCTTTTGCTGCGTTTTGTTACTCTCTGGGCGGGCCCGAACCCAATCTACTCTATCCGCCTTCCTACTTCATGCTTCTACCTGCTTCTTCCGACCGATGGGTAACGTTTTTTGCGCAATCGGAAGCAGGGAGCTGTGCACATGGAGGAAGGGTGAGGAGGACAAGGAGGTGGCGGATGAACAGGAGGATGAGCAAGAGGAGAAGGAAGATGAGGACATAGCACGACGAGGGCAAACAGCAGCAGCGGGAACCAGAGTGCAGCGAGCGGAAGGAGGGGAAAGGATGGGAGCGACAAGGATGACGAAGAACTCCTATCCAGAAAAGTGTCCCGCGCTGGGGCCAGAGCGCCACCCTGAGCGACGGGAGGAAAGCGCCGATCCCGCAATGAGGCCAACGCTGCTGCGGCAGCCCCATTTTGAGACACCGACGACGCTCCGAGTGCCCAGAAGACATGGGAAGGACCAAACAATGAGGTCCTGCGTCCTGCGTATGAGGGGAGGAAAAAAAGGAGAAAAAAAAAAAAAAAAAAAAAAAAAAAAAAAAAAAAAACGGTACTCGAGCGGGGGGGCGGGGGGCGTGCCCTTCCCTGGCCGTCCTGGGGAAAAGAGAGAAGGGCTGTATTCGCACCACGCTGGGCACGCTCGCGCCCATGTCTGGCAGCCTTACCCCTCCCACGAATGCCGTCCCCTTGCGCTGACTGTTTCTTTCTCCGCGGGCCCGCATCATGGCGGACCTGGAACTCCCCAAAGGAACCTTGCCGTGTGTTGCGCAGCCGGAGAAGGGGAAGCTGTGCACATAGGGGACGGGGAGGAGGAGGAGGAGGAGGAGGAGGAGGAGGAGGAGGAGGAGGAGGAGGAGGAGGAGGAGGAGGAGGAGGAGGTGGCCGATGAATCGGAGGATGAGCCGGTGGAGAGAGAGAGGATGAGGAAGGAGTGGGGGGGGAGGACGAGGGCGAACAGCAGCAGCAGGAATTGGAACGGAAGGAGCGAGAGGAGCAGGATGGGGACCAGGAGAAGACGGAGGAGGGGAAATGAGGAGGGCGACATCGATGAGAAAGGATCCGGATCCAGAACAGTAGCCCGCGCTGCTGCGAGAGCGCTATTCTGAACGACGGGAGCACAGCGTTGCAGCGGCAGCACCTTCTGTGAGACACCGAGAACATTCCAACTGACAGAAGCGTCGGAAAGACCAGGTAATTCAATCCCACGTGTAAGATGTTCGCGGAGGGAGTGGGCCACTCCCCGTGAGCGTGCTCGCGTCATATCTGACATCCGACCAATTCTACCACTTGTTTCTCATTGTGCTGTTTCTGCTCTATCCGCCGACGTGTGCCATGGTGGACCTATTCTCCAAAGATAACCTCATCGTGGTGTGCGCAATCGGATAATGATCTGGGTATACTGGCAGAGGACATGCCCGATGAGAAGGAGAATGATCAGGAAGGAAAGAAGAGAAGGATGGAGGAGGACGAGGACGCACAGCAGCAGCAGCAAGAACTGGAGCGGAAGGGGCAGGAAGACCAGGATAAGGCGGATGAGGACAAATGAAAATGAAGGGGGGGGGGGGGCGACAATGATGACAAATCATTCGGATCCCACAAAATGGGCCGCGCTGTCTCGAAACGCCCACGTTCCATCGGGAGCATGATTTTTAAACACCGCAGACAATCGGATTGCACAAAACTGCAAGAAACATACGTGTTTGAAATGTTGTGCGTAAGGACAACGCGGAGAGGGCCGAACATCTGACAGAGTCAGGAGAGAGAGGAGACTAGTACTCAATCTGTGTAGTTGCGGAACACGTGTTGAGTAGTTGCCAAGTAGTTGTAGGTAGGAGAGGGGAGAGACGAGGGAAGAGAGGAGGAGGAGAAGCAGGAGGAAAAGCAGGAGTAGCAGGAGGAGAAAGGGGAGGAGGAGGAGGAGGAGGAGGAGGAGGAGGAGGAAGAGGCGCCCGAGCGCCCCCACAGCCAGCGCAAGAAAAAAGGAGGAAGAGGAGGAGGAGGAGGACGAGGAGGAGGACGAGGAGGAGGACGAGGAGGAGGAGGAGGAGGAGGAGGGGAAGGAGGAGGAGGAGGAGGAGGAGGAGGAGGAAGAGGAGGAGGAGGAGGAGCAGGAGGAGGAGGAGGAGGAGCAGGAGGAGCAGGAGGAGCAGCAGGAGCAGGAGGAGGAGGACGAAGATTCAGCCCCTCGGACGCCCTCTTCGGGCCCGGGCGCACACCCTTCCAGAGCGACCCCTCCCACGGCAGTTTGCAAGCGTCCCGGCCGCCAACGGGCCGAGGTGTCCTGCGCGCTGCCCGGGGGCGGCAGGCTTCCCGCAGGCTGCTCCTGGATCGACCAGGCGCAAGAGTGACCGCTTGGTGCGGGCCCAATGGGCTTCCCCCGTTCGCCGACCGCGATGCGATAGCAGCGTCTTGCGCGCTTGTGTCTGGTCCCCCCGCGGCCCCCTAGAATCAGGTCGGGCGCGTCCCTCTACAGGAGGACAGGTCAAAAATAGTCAAACAAATAGTCTGCGGACGATTTTTTGTTTTATGTTTTTTGTTTTGTTTGAGCTTTGTATGATTATTATTGATTTTTCCTCCAAAATTCGCCTGTAGGGGGAAGTGCCCGAACAAGCCCTAAAAATCCGCGCACCAAATGTCACTCTGACCAGGGTCGCTCTTGCGAGTAGCCGATCCTGGAGTCTAGGCCAGCCGATCAGAGGAGGACAAGGTACCGAAACCGCTACCCTTCGTCCGTTTCCCTTTCTCGGCCTCCTCAGAAGCCCTTGTTGCCGCCGTTGGATTCGGCTCGAAACTCTGGTCAGAACGCACCCCGGGAAAGGTCTGGGGAGTAGAGGTATCAGTACCTCTTGGTTTCCCCAAGCCGAGGTTATAATGCATGGTAGCACGTTTGTGCTCTTGCACGGCCAGCCCTTGGCGCTGGAACATGTGTTGTGCCCATACCGGTGCCTCGCGCGTCTCCCAGAAAGGGCGGCCACACAGCCTGTCTCCCATTCTCCGTTATCCCTCCTTATTGTCCCTATCCTCCTCCCCAGGCTCCGACTCCTGTTCGCTGTTCCTGGTTGGAATCTGTGTATGTTTGCACATGTCCCCCCTTCTCCGCGCAAGAGACAGGAGGATTGTGCATAATGTCTGGCATGCAAGGATTACAGTGGTGTCCGCAGGTCGGTGATGTTATTGACCATGGCGTTGGCAGTGCAAGTTGTCGTGGCGGTGGGATTGGCTACGGTAGCCCTGTTTCGTTTCTGATGTCAGCAGCATCTCTGACAGCATCGGACGTGACAGGTCAACCCCTGAATCCATGTTAGGCAACGGAGCGGCCGGCATGCTGAGCCGCAGCGTTTGTCGCGCCTACCATATTGTGTTCTATAGTGGAAAAAACATACTAACATCTGCAGTAGTTCCAGACGAATGATTATCCAGACGACGCAGGGGTACCCTGCTGGGAGCCGATCTGCGCGACGGGGTGCAAGAACAGATGATCGTGGTCGCGGCCACAAATGTTGCCTCGCCGCCATCGCCGTCACCGCCGTCGCCGTCATCTTCGTATCCACGGCGATGCCGTCCGTGGCCAATGTGGTCCAATCTTGATGCCCATATTCCGAAACGTATGTCGGCAAAAAAGGCAGACAGCGAAGCGCGTCGTCCGTCCTCCCTGATCTGGTAGGCGAGATGGGCGCGCCGGCGAACCGCCGCAAGGTCGACCCCTCGAGCGCGGGATCCGACGCGATCCGCGCACAAGTCGCCGCTGCTTGCCCCGTGCAAGGCCGGCGACGCCGCGCCGAGGACGCGCGGTCCAACCGCCGCTCCGTGCTGCTCCCCCGAGGGCGCCCGGAGCACGGGGCGCGTGGCTCGGCTCGGCGCGGGCACCGAGGGCGCGCGAGGGCACCGAGGTGCGGGCGTCGCCCCGCCACGGCAGGATTATGGCGCGCACCGCGGGGGCCACCGCTCCAGCAGCGCAGGCGCTGCGCGCGAGGCGGCGCAGGAGCCGCAAGCGCGTCCCATCATATGGTGCAGGGCATCGCTTCGCCATCGAGTTCTCAGCGCAAGCGCCGCGGGGGGCAGTCGATTCATCCGCGCGGGCGCTGCGCGCGGCCAGGCGCAGGCACCGCAGGCACGCCGCAGGCTAGGGCGCAGGCATCTCGTCGTCATCCTGCCAGTAGCGCGGGCGCCGCGGGCATCGGTTTCTATCAGCGCAGGCACCGCCCACGGTGAAGCGCGGACACACTTCCGACACTTCGGATCAGAAGGTGCGGGCGTCGCCCCGTCCGCGCAGGCACCAGCGCAGGCGCGCCGGGCCTTGTGCTTGGCTTGATCGGCGCAGGCACACGACCCCGCTCGGGGTTCTAAGAGTGCAAGGGTTAAAAAAAGGGGCGGGGCGGTGGGGCAGGTCGCGCGAGTGGTAACACCGCTCCAGTGCCATTGCCCCAGACGGGGCGGCGCGCCTTCGGCGGGGGCGAGCGAGAGGACGGGCGAGGCTTGTGCGTGGTTGAACCATGGAGCAAAGCCTCGAGAGAGAGAGAGAGAGATCCAGCGAGCAACGCAGCGCCGCGGCGGCGGTGGTTCGCGCGCGCACCGCCCCGCGCGCAGGAAGAAACTAGTTGTTTCTTGTCCTCCTCCCTCCTCCTCTCCTCCTCCTCCTCCTCCCTCCTCCTCCTCTCTCCTCCTCCTCCCCTCCTCCTCCTCCTCCTCCTCCTCCTCCTCCTCCTCCTCCTCCTCCTCCTATCTCCTCCTCCTCCTCCTCCTCCTCCTATCTCCTCCTCCCCTCCTCTCCTCCTCCTCCTCCTCCTCCTCCTCCTCCTCCTCCTCCTACCTCCTCCTCCTCTCCTCCTCCTCCTCCTCCTCCTCCTCCTCCTCCTCCCCCCCTCCTCCTCCCCCTCCTCCTCCTCCTCCTCCTCCTCCTCCTCCTTCCTCCTCCTCCTCCTCCTCCTCCTCCTCCTCTTGTCTGGCCCATGGCGCGCTTGCGGCAGGCATAGAAACATGGGGGCATCGAATTGATCAGCAAAAGAGGAAGACGGCTGCAGCGTGCCTCCCTTTACCCCAATATCGGCGCCACCCCGCGTCCGTCATACCAAGCGTGGTGCTTCCGCTCTGGTCTTCAACAGCGTATACACGTTTCATGTCAATCGCAGATTTGGATGTCCTGTGTCTCTTGAGGGTCCAAGACGGCCGCCTCCAAGACGGCCCAAAATATTATTCAATCCGTAACGATTGCAGAGTTTAACGATATTTCCCCGGAGCAAAAGCGGAATATGAAAAAGCGTTCCAAGTTCAGCCTGAGCATATTCAGGGCGATGAATGCATTCAAGTTTCGCGTTAGTTTGTGGACCATTCTCTTTGAGGCCGTCTTGGGGCCGTTCTGGACAATTCTCTTCGAGCTTCACTGGGGCGTCTTCGTGACATCTGAGGTTCGGAGCCGCCATGAGCCGTCGCAGAGGCGTTTCATGAGTGACGTCGGCCTCCTGGGGCCCTTTTGGGGGCCCGCTTCAGGGTTCGGTGACTTGTCTCGATGGTGATTGTTGGTGCCGTGTCACGGGGCTTTGTGGGGGCCTTGTTGCCCTGAGTGTATTTGGGGCCAGCCTCGGGCTTCCTTCCGCACATTCAGAGATGGCGGCATCATTCAAACAACAAGGTACACGTGTTCCATGGCGAGTTTGGGTTGCTACTGGGGGGTCTCCCTAGAGCATGAAAGCCGCGGTTCGGTCCGGTCCGGTTCGGTTCGATGTGCGACCGGTTCGGTTCGACCGGTTCCGGTTCGCGTCGCAAACCGGTTCGGTTCGACCGGTTCGGTTCTTTGTCGTAGACCGGTTCGGTTCGACCGGTTCGGTTCGGCCGGTTCGGTTCTACCGGTTCGGTTTTATGTGTTCCGACCGGTCCGGTTCGGCCGGTTCGGTTCGGTTGGTTCGGCCGGTTTCGCATCCATGCAGAGGCGATTTCAGTCAGCCCGATTTCGATTCGCTTCGATTCCAGGCCGTCCCGATCGGCAGCCCCGACGGGGATGGGGACAGTGGGGGCGAGGGAGGAGGAGGAGGAGGAAGAGGAGGAGGAGGAGGAGGAGGAGAAGAAGGAGGATGAGGAGGAGGAGGAGGAGGACGAGGACGAGGACGAGGACGAGGACGAGGACGAGGACGAGGACGAGGCCGGCCCGTTCGGCGACGGCGACGGCGACGGCGGCGGCGTGCTTGGAGGGTGGATCTGCCTGCGGCGTCGGACGGCCCCTTCCGCAGGGAAACCCGCATCGGCGGGCAAGGAGGAGGAGGCGGCGGAAGAGGAGGAGGGGCGACGGGGACCCAGAAATGTCCGAGCCGGGGAGGGTCCGGACCGGGGAGGGTCCGGACCCCCGGGGGTCCGGACCCAGTGGGTCCGGACCCAGGGGGTCCGGACCGGGGGGGGTCCGGACCGGGGGGGTCGGACCCAGGGGGTCGTCGTCGCGCCTTCCTCCGCCGCCGTCGTCGTCGCCTTCCTCCGCCGTCGTCGTCGCCTTCCTCCGCCGTCGTCGTCGTCGCCCCGCGCGCGCCCGCCAGCCAGGTGCTCGTCTTCATGGGTGTCTTCATGGGTCCTGGGGGTCCTGGGGTCCCGGGTCCTGGGGTCCTGGGAAGTCCAAGAGGATCCTGGATTCAGGTCCCGGGGTCTTTTGAGGTCCTGGGGTCCTGGGTTCAGGTCCTGGGTCCTGAGGTATTTTAAGGTTCGAGCGGGTCCTGGGGTCCTGACTCCGGTTCGGACGGTTCGGTTCCGCCGGTCCGGTCCGGTTCGGCCGGTTCGGTTCCGCCTGGTTGGCCGGTTCGGTTCGGCCGGTTCGGTTTCCGCCGGTTCGGTTCGGCCGGTTCGGTTCGCACAGCGGGCCGGTTCGGTTCGGCCGGTTCGGTTTGGCCGGCCGGTTCGGTTCGGCCGGTTCGGTTCCAGACCCGGTTCTCGGTTCTCGGTTCGGTTCGCGGCCATCATGCTAGAGCGTCGCAAAAGCTCACGAGGGCATCTTGTTGCATGTAAGCAGCAAATTGTTGGAGGCGTTGCTAATCTCACCCGCCGCAGTCATATCCTAGGGCGTTGTAGCGATGCAGGCTCAATCACAGACGAGGCTTTCACGCGCATGTAGATGCAAGCCCAGAAAGCACACGAGGCAAGCGCAGTCATCAGCTAAGGTGGCAGGTCGACTAGCGTGGCGGAGCCATGCCCGAAGACGGAATCTCCCCGTTCGATCGCGCGGGCCTCGTGGATTCCATCACCTTCGGCTACGGTCTGCCCCTCATGCGCGTTGGCGCCAACAAAGTTCTGGAGGCGGCGGACCTCCCCGCCATAGGAGCCCAAGACCGGGCCTCCCGTGCAGTGGAGAGGGTCCTGAGCGCCTGGCTGGTGGAGCAGGAGCTGGGGCCCACCAGGGCCAGCCTCTGGCGAGCTCTCTACCATGCGTTCCGGCGCAAGTTCTGGCTCGCGGCTGGCTGGTGCTTCCTGGAGAGCTGCTGCCGCCTGGCCCAGCCCATCCTGCTGCGCTCGATCCTGCACGCGCTGGCCCAGGACCAGGTAGAGGAGCTCTACGCCTGCACAGTGGGGTTGGTAGTGGTCTCTTTTTTGCAGGCTGTCGTCCATCACCAGCTCTTCTTTGCCACCATGACGGGCGGTTGGCAAGTCCGCACTGGCTTGACCGGCGTGCTGCACTGGAAGCTCCTGCGCTTGCAGACATCAGTGTTGCAGTCGGAGAAGATCGCCGACTGTTACAATCTGGTGGCGAACGACATCCAGCGCTTCGACGCCTTCTTGCCTTTCGCGCACTTTGCCTGGACTGCCTTCCTCGACCTCGCGGTTGTGGTGGTCGTATCAGTGCTGTTGGTGGGGTGGGTCGCGAGTGCCGTCGGAATAGTCGTCGTGCTGGGCTCGATCGCCATCATGGTCTTCTTCGGCAAGCGCTTTGCTCGCCGGCGGAAGATCACAGCAGCGATCACGGACGAGCGTTTGAGGGTCACTTCCGAGGTCATCGCGGCGGTAATGAACGTCAAGGTGTACTGCTGGGAGGAAGCCTTCATCGAGCGCATCCGCGCCATTCGGCAGCGGGAGCACACCTCCATTTTCCGCCGCCAGCAGATGGTTGCCACAGCCAGCGCGATCTCCTTCAGCTTGGTCCCCGCGGCATCGCTCTTCCTCTTCCTGACCTTCATCGCCCAGGGCGAGGCCCTGACGCTCGAGGCCGTCTACACGGTGCTGTCGCTCTTCATGGTGTTGCGCGTCAGTTTCGGCAAGAGCTTCAAGAACGTGATGCAGTTCGGGCCCGAGTGCCATGCAGCCGTGGTGCGCCTGCGCCTCTTCCTCCTGCAGCCGCAGGTGCCGCTGCGGCCCGACGACGACGACGACGAAGTCGACGACGACGACGACGACGCCGACGCCGACGACGACGTCGACGACGCCGACGCCGGCGACGACGCCGACGGCGCCGACGACGACGTCGACGACGACCTGCAGCCGCAGGTGCCGCTGCGGCCCGTGGTGCCCCTGGAGGGCCCTGGCGGCCCGGTCCTCGACGCCCGGGGCGCCTCGTACCTCTGGCCGGGCAGCGGGGCGCAGGCTCGGCGGCCGACGACGGCGCCGACGACGACGAACGACGGACGACGACGACGACGACGCCGACGGCGCCGACGATGACGACGCCGACGACGACGACGACGACGACGACGACGACGACGACGACGACGACGACGACGACGACGACGACGACGACGACGACGACGACGACGACGACGACGACGACGACGACGACGACGACGACGACGACGACGACGACGACGACGACGACGACGATGGACGACGACGACGACGTGACGACGACGCCGACGACGACGACGACGACGACGACGACGACGACGACGACGACGACGCGACGACGACGACGACGACGACGACGTGGACGACGACGACGACGACGACGACGACGACGCGACGACGACGACGACGACGACGACGACGACGACGACGACGACGACGACGACGACGACGACGACGACGACGACGACGACGACGACGACGACGAGAGGGGGCGGGCCTGCGGCTTTCTGGGAAGTTCTGGGCCTCCCAGATGGGGTCGGAACAGATGGGGTCGGAGGATCGCGCCGCACCGCCGAGGCATCGGCGATGCGTCTCGATTTTGGGGCCCGATTTTCTCCACGCCGACGTCGCTGGTGCATCGCCGACGTCGCTGGGGCATCGCCCATGGATCGCCTATGCATCGCCGATGCATTGGCGAAGCGGCGCGATCCTCCCTCGTCCATTCCGACCCCATCCGAAAGGCCTTCAGGACACAGCAAATAAGCTTCCCAGAGGGCTGGAGAGCTTCCGAGGAGCCCCGCCGCCTTCTGAGAAGGCCTTCTCCCTCTCACCTTCCCCCCCCCTTCCCCAGACACCCGCCCGCCGCTCCTATTTTTTCGAGGCGTGGGCCCTGGATGTCTGGACCACTTCCCCAGGGCCGACGTTCCGTCCCGAGCCCTTTCTGTTCACGGCCCCGAGGCCCGGCGAGGGCCTCCGGAGGCCGCAAGCGGCCAAGAACCCGCCGCTCCAAGCTTTCTGTTGGAGCGTCGGGCCTCACTTCCCCCCCCCCCCCTCGATCGCCGCCGTGGCCTCCTTCTTCCTGCCGCTGCTGCTGCTGACCACACAATCAGCCTTGGCGCCTGACGCTCGACGTCTGTCACGCCGCGCCGCGGTAATCTGTTTCATCTCGCGCTGCTGCTTCCCGTTTTTCATACGCTGCGATATCTCCACACCTCGCCGGTGATCTCGGCCCGGCGCCTGGCAGGGGCAGGCGGACTTCCCGCCTCCCCACGGGCCGCTCTGCTCTGCGCTGCTCTGCCCTGCCCTCGCCCGCCGCCGACAGGCCCTCACCGAGGTGAGCGCTCGCCTCCACAAGGGCGAGCTGATGGTCGTCGCGGGCCCGGTCGGCTGCGGGAAGAGCGCGCTGCTGCAGGCCCTCCTCGGGGAGCTGCACCGCTCGAGCGGCTCCGCGACCCTGCGCGGGGCCGTGGCGTACGCCCCCCAGGCGCCGTGGATCATGGCGGGCACCCTCCGCAGCAACATCACCATGGGCGCCGGCGCCTCCGAGGAGCCGAGGGGGCGCCCCGGAGGGCGCGGAGCAAGTCAGTCGCGCCTCGTGGTTCGGCTCCGCCTCCTCCTCCTCCTCCTCCTCCTCCTCCTCCTCCTCCTCCTCCTCCTCCTCCTCCTCCTCCTCCTCCTCCTCCTCCTCCTCCTCCTCCTCCTCCTCCCCCCCTGGAGGGCGGCGCGAGAGAGCGCGAGGCTATTCGTGCAGAGCGCAGCGCGAAGCGCGAAGTTGGGCGCCCTCGAGGAGTGGTACGACGAGGTCCTCGCAGCCTGCAGCCTGAAGGCGGACGTGCTGCAGCTGGGCCCCGCGGGCGACGGTACGGAGATCGGCGAGCGGGGCGTCAACCTCTCGGGCGGCCAGCGGGCGCGCGTGGGCCTGGCGCGGGCCGTCTTTGCTCGAGCGGACGTGGTCCTGCTGGACGATCCGCTATCGGCCGTGGACCCCTCGGTCTTCGCACAGGGGATCGACTGCAACATCGAATTAATTACCCCAAAATTGACTTGTTTGTCGAATCTGCCGAGACAGAAAAAAACTAGAAGGTTCGCACATCTGCGAACATTCTACGTTCTTGTTGTTTTTCGCAGATCCGACGGACATGTGATGAAGTTTCGGGTTCATCATTTCTGCAGTCGATCCCCTACTCGAGGTCTCGGTGCAGCTCGTCGAGAGGTGCATCAGGGGCAGGGTCCTGGCCGACGCCGGGGTGGTCCTGTGCACGCACCAGGCGAGCGTCTTCTCCCTCGCGGACGTCCTCCTCCTCCTCGACGAGAGCGGAGGCGTGCGGGCGTGCGGGAGGCCGCGCGAGGTTGCCGAAGCCTGCGGGCTGACGCTCGAGGCCGCCGCGCCGTCTTCGCAGGCTGCCGCGGACGAGGCGGGGGCGGGCGGCCGCGGGCCCCCCGCCCCGGCCGGGGGCGAGGCAGGCCAGCCTCGGGGCCTCCCCGGTGGGCTCCGCGCGGGTGGGGCCAGAGGGTCGCGCCGCCTCGCCGACGCCTCTGCGATGCGCCCCGATGCGGAGCCCGAGCGTCTCCACGCCGGCGTCGCCGGTGCACCGGCGGTGCGTCGGCGATGCGGCGCAGGCCTCCGACCCCGTCTGCGCGGGCCCCGCGTCCGGGAGGCCTCGGCAGCCCGTGCCGGGGGAGGGCCGCTTGGTCAAGGCCGAGGACAATGTGCGGGGCTCCGTGGCGTGGAGTGCCTATCTGGCCTTCGCCCGGATCGCGGGTCTGCGGGTGACCGCCGCCGTGCTGTGGCTCTTCTCGAAGGAGAGCAAGGGCCATAGACATAGACTGTTGCCGCTCCGCGCGGATTCCTTGGACCCGCGCTGGGCCCCCCGCGGCGACGCCTCCGGCGCCGCCCCTGGCGCGCTCCGCGCGCCAGGGAGGGGGGCCCAGCCCGGATCCGAGAAGTCCGCGCGGAGCGCCAAACGTTTATACGTTCGTGGCGGCTTCTCTGCTTCTGCCCTCGCGCTCTCCCAGGGCGCCCTCCTGGCGTCCAACTACTGGCTGGGGCTGTGGGCCGAGGCGGAAGACCAGGCCCAGGCCCACTTCGCCGCCGTCTTCGCCGCGCTCACGGGGGCCACGGTGCTCCTGGCCGTGGCACGCAGCGTCCTCTTCTACCTTGCCGCCCTCCGGGCGTCCTCGTCCCTGCACAACCTCGCGCTCCGCCACGTCCTGGGCACGCACGTGGGCTTCTTCTCGGCGAACCCGCAGGGCCGCGTCCTCAACCGCTTCAGCGGTGACGTCGGAAACGTCGACGAGTTGTTGTCGCAGACACTGCATGAAGTCTTCGACCTCGGCTGCGTCGGGATCGGCGCCCTGACCCTCATTTGCATCTCAGTGCCCCCTGCGATCCCATTCCTGTTCGCCATGCTCTGGTACATGTTGCGCCTGCGCCGCTTCGTGGTGAAATCGATGACAGAGCTGAAGCGCTTGGACAGCGTAAGTCGATCGCCCGTCTTCGACAACTACGCCGCCACCATGCGTGGATTGGTTTGCATCCGCGCGTTCCGGCGCGAGGAGGCTGCTCAGGAGCGGATGCTGGAGCTTCTCGACGCTAACGCGAAGGCATGGTTTTGGTGGCAGGGAGCGCCAATGCAAAGGGGAGAGCTGTGAATCGATCGAGAGAGGGCCGGGTATTTATATACGAATACATATATATATATATATATATATATAAAAGTGTAAATATATACACACTTATATATAAACATATACACATATATATAATAAAGAATATTGAAAAAGATGGGAGGACAGGCGGATAGGCAGGCAAACGCACAGGAATGGCGACATGCAAAAGCACACTTTTGCTTGCCTGCTAGTTGCGAGTCATCCTCGCGAGATCCTGACACACTGGGCGCGAAGGCCGCGCCGTGCGGCAGGACATGGGATGCGGGATGTGCACGAGGACAAGCAAAAAAGCAGGGGGAGACAAGACATGGTCTATTCCGATTCGATCGATTCGATCTCGATCTCGGCTGGCCCGAGCCGCATCGCCTCCAGCGTTCCGACGATCCGATGCAGCCACGAGGCTCGCATGGCGTCGTCGTGCATCCTGGTGCGGCCGCTCCGATTCGATGCCGGCCCCGTGTCGGTGTAGCCGGTCCGACGCGCCCTTCGATTCGATGTCCCGATGCGCTGTTGAGGCGCCGCGTCGGGCTCGGCCAGCTGTCCAAAAAGGTCGGTCTCGTCGGCCATGCGCCGGCAGTTTGCGGGAGCGATGCGGCAGGGTCGCGCCGTGTCGACCGACCCTCGGCGACCCCGCCGCTGGCGTTCAACGTTGGAGCTACGCTACGCAACGCTACGCTTAAGTCGGGCATGTCCTTCTACAGGAGGAGTATTCAAAAATAGTTTTAAAATAGTACGGGGACAATTGTTTGACTAGTTTTCAACATTTTGGAGGTATTTTTTGACTGTGTCCGATTTTTCCTCCAAAATCGGCCTGTAGGGGGACATGCCCGACCTAACGCTACGCTGAGCCATGCGCCGAAGCGCGTGGGCGAAAACAGAAAGAAGAGATGACATGCCAAGGCACCGGGCATCACGCGCAATGTATGTACAGAATGGCTACAAGTGGTCACCCGCACCCTCCTTGCTTGCAAGACGTTCCGCAACAGTTCGCCACTCGACGGGGTCCTGCAGGCGCTGCGGCCTAGAGTTCCAGGCCAAGATGATCAACCAACCACCTTGTGTAGACAGTTCGTCCATTAGTGCTTGGGCCTGCCTCTCCTCCTTTGATGAGCATCCACGGCTGAACTAACGGCGCCGGGCTGAAAAGTGAGTCGTCGAAGAAAGTCTGTATCTGGATCCCGACCAATTTTCCCAAACAGTATGTTCTGTTGTTGAAGAAGTTGCGCGCTGTACTGCATTTGCCTGGCTTGCTCCAGCACCTTGCTGTTGGGCATTCGCGTCAGAAAAGCCGGAATTATATGCAGTATTCTTCGTAGGCATCTGGCTTGAAATCCATCCAACTTTCTCCTCTCAGCTTTGTGTAACCACGCTGTGTTCAATGAATCTAAGATTCTGGATGTCACCAACGCTTGAAATAGATCCAGTTCCCGACGCGTGCTCAAAGCAGAGTGTTTCCATGCTCTGTCATATTTGTAGAATTCGGCCCATGCTGCCCCGATTATTTTGTTTAGTTCGGTGCCCAACTGCCCACCATTACAGAAAGTCGCACCCAAATGTGTCATATGTTGCTTCTCTGCGATGCTCTGCCCGGCAGATGTCCTCAACGTCACGTCGCTGTTGATCTTGATCATCTGGAATGTGTCCCATTGTAGTTCCATTCCAACTTGCGCCCCTGCCAAAGCGATGTTGTCCAAGAGGTGTTGTAAGCGGGTCTGACTTCTCCCGAGAAGCAGTGTGTCGTCGGCGTACAGCACCACGGAGAGATTGCCGGAATCCTTGTCGAGCTTATCATTCTCGTTCAGGTTGTTCGTGGCGCCTCGCACAAGTATTGTCATCAGCATGACGAAGAGAAACCGCGATAGCGGGCACCCCTGTGAGATTCCAGACATCTGCGTGCTGTCAAAAGATTTGATTGCCCCGTCGGTCACACAAAATCGCCTGGCCTCGTGAATATTTCCAATCAGGGTGAGCATGTTCAAGGGCACCCCAAAACGGCGCAGCGCACCTAGCAAAGTTTCGACGTTTATAGTATCAGAAGTTGTTTCCCAATCGAGGGCAACGAAAGTACTCCCACCATCTTTTCTAGCGTGTTTTTTTTCCACTTGAGTTTTTGTACTGCTTTTCCCACCTCCTGCATGATGACCGCCGCCTCGCTGACGGGAAGGCGCGGTCCCAAGGCTTCGTTGTCAACAAAGTTTGCTGGCCGTACTTTCCATTGCACTCGTCCCAAATAAGTTACCATGGCATCCGCTCGTGACTTGCTTCCAACGTTGTAGGCCGCCGGGGGAAAGAGTCGGTTGATGTTGAGCGATCTGACGTTGCGGAAACGGCCGATCGTTCAAGGTTGAACGATCCCCGCGGTGTCAGAAACCAACGCCGAAGTCGACACGACACGAACTTACCGTATTCGGCCCACGCTGCAGCCCCACGGTGAGACGTTGTCAGGGTGTGTTGTTCCCTGGTGGTTTTGGCGTTGTCGCCTCTGGTCCGTCAAGACGGGCCTGAGAAGTCTTTACGACGGTCCCAGCCTGGGGTTCCCAGGGTGTCCCAATAGGGCCCCAAGGACACCCAGCGGGCGGTCAAGATGAGCCCGGCAAGGCCGCAGCGAAGCCCAAGCGAGCCCCGAGAATGCCCCGAAGAGTTTAGTTTACAGGAGCCACAAGCGCCCATCAATTGAACTGAATTCGAATCCACGCAGGAGAACGATCAAGGACATTGTGCGGCTAGTTGTGTAGACGCGTAAAACGTAATTTGAATAATTTTGATTAGTACGTGACAGCGTTCCATACTTTGTTCGCTAATTCGACTGTACGAGGGATACTTATGTAGACAGGTCGTGGGCTGGACGAGGGAGAGGAAGGGGGAAGGACAGGCCTCTTGAGGCGTTTTGAGGGCCTCTTGGAACCCCATTGGGGCATCTTGAGGCCGCTTGCATGCGTCTTAGGGGGCACACTGGAGCCCCCTCATGGCTGCTTGGGGCGTTGGAGCATCTTCTGGGGGGCCCCGCGCCGTCTCACGCCTTCGCGGAACTCCCGTCGGGGTAGTGCTGGGAAGTTTTTCGGTCAGTGCTGGCAGAGGTCCTTCGGCCACTCCGAGTCGATTCGGTTCGACCTCGACGGCTTCCGATGCCGATTCCACTCGACTTCGGAGTCCGATGTGGGCTCCGATCTCTCAAGGGAGGCCTGCCAGCCTGCCGCTGTCCGCGGATTCGGCTCCTCCCGACCCGGCCGCCGAGTTCTGCCTATCCGACTCCGACCGCCGATCCGACTTATCGATTCGATCGCCGATCGCCGATCGCCGATCCGACTTATCCGAGTTCTGCCGATCGCCGATCCGACTTATCGATTCGATCCTGGGCTTTCCTGCTCCGGGGCCGTCTCGGGTCCCTCCCGAACCTCCTGGAGGCCATCTCGGGCCGAAGAGCTGGGGAGCAAAGCAACGCATACGTGCTGCGTCTTGTGCGTTCTTAGCTTGAGCTCTGGACTGCCTGGGCCCTTTCTTCGGTCTTCTCGGTGGCCCCTCGTGGGTTCTCGTGGGGCCTCTCCAGTCGCTCGTGAGACGTCCTGGGCCTCGTAGATCTCCTCCTCCTCCTCCTGCTCCTCCTCCTCCTCCTCCTCCTCCACAATTACTCAATTTGAATACTACTCTCCCTCTTCCCTTGATGGCGTACTGGGAGTGGCCGACCCCCCCCCCCCCCGCGTACTGTTTTTTTACACACAGGATTCCCGGGAGTTGGGTTTTCGCCTGCTTTTTTTTCAAAATGCTGCTCCCGCTGAGGCGCCGGCTTCATTTCTGCTCTCGAATCGTTCCGGATCGTGCTCCCGCTGCAGCGTGGGCCTCATTTTCGGATCGGTGTTTGGCCTCCGTCGTTCAGGATGGCGTTCTCGCCCTAGCGCGGGCCTCTTTCTCGCGCGCCCATCCGCCCGCCACCACCGCGCCGCACCACCACCACCACCACCACCACCCACCACCACCACCACCACACACCACCACCACCACCACCACCACCACAACAACCACGCACACACACACGCACGCACGCACGCGCACCACCACCCACTACGCACGCGCGCGCGGAGCCACAGGTCCGCTACGACACGCGTCCGCGGATAGAGAAAATCAGCGCCATGGTAAGGGATGGGAGGGAGGGGTAGACGTCAGATATGACGCGAGCGCACCTAGCTTGTCCTCCTCCCCGTCTTTCTCTTCCTCCTCCTTCTCCTCCTCCTCCTCCTCCTCTCCTCCTCCTCCCTCCTCCTCCTCCTCCTCCCCCTTCTCCTCCTCCTCCTCCTCCTCCTCCTCCTCCTCCTCCTCCTCCTCCTCCTCCTCCTCCTCCTCCTCCTCCTCTCCTCCTCCCTCCTCCTCCTCCTCCTCCTCCTCCTCCTCCTCCTCCCTCCTCCTCCTCCTCCTCCTCCTCCTCCTCCTCCGCAGCCTTATGTGCCCACTGCGTCGTGTTGGGGTCCGTCTCGAGCGTCGCAGGGGCTCCACAGACCGCCTGGAAGACCCTGGAGCGCATCGGGGGCCTCGGGGGGGGGTTGCATATACAGCGTGCTGCGGACAGGGCAGGTCGGCTCCGGAAGACTCGACGGGGCCCTGCGAGGCCGCACTCGGCAGGATACCGCCCCGCTCCGTCATGAAGGCACGGTGGCCGATGGCGAGCGGCATGCGGAAACGCATCTGAGGTGTAGGACTCACTCTCTCTCACACACACACACCTGCGGAGTCCGCATCGCAGCGGCAGGTTGACGAGAGTTTGGCGTGGAGGGTGAATGTTGCCACTTCGGCCCGCGCCAAAGCAGTACTGCGAAAGACCTTTCAGGGGGAGATCGGTTTGACTCGGGTGCACTTTCAGATCGCTTGTGTGCTGCAGCTGCATAAAAGGGAGGTTGGTGATCAGCTGCACCCAACTCCGGACGCGGGGGGGAGATCAAAGATCTGAATGTGTTCGCCCTCTGCCGCCGGCCCCCGCAGGGTCTGACCCCTTGCAGCATTGATCTGGTCGGGTTGGCGCGGTGCCTTCTCCAGGCCACCAACACCCAACACGCACAGCAAGAATGCACATGCCCAGGGTACCCCACACCTCGAAGCCCAAAATCAACGGTCCTGGAAGCCACAGTGTTACCGTCGTTGCTTCATATCTGTATCAGGATCTGGAAATTCGTAATGGTATACAGAGTGTTCATACCATTGAGCGTCCCCAACAACATCGATGCTGAATGTTTTCGGCTATCATGGTGGCGAGCTCTTCTCTCTCTCTCTCTCTCTCCCTCTTTGTAACGCCCGCATGTTGCAAGAGTCCTGGCGAGGTGGCTCATCACCAACCGCTTCCTGGGCTTCCGCCTGGACATGCAGGCTGTGCTTGTCATGGCTTTTGCAGCCGTCGGAGGCGCAGCCGTTAGGGATTTTGTGGGGCCAGAGTTCATTGGCTTAGCGATCGTCCAGGCAATCTCGCTGTCAGGCCTGTTTCAGTTTATGGTTAGGCAGTCCGCGCTGGTCGAGTCGTACATGACAAGCTTCCAGCGCCTACAGACATACGCAGCCCTGCCCCGCGAGCCAGATTCTGGCTCACACAAGCCGACGATCCCCTTCCCAGCGAAGGGGACCATCGTATTCTCTGGGCTTTGCATGCGATACCGTGATGACCTTCCTCTGGTCTTGAAGGGCGTCGATTTCGCTTGTCCCGCACAGGCAGTGGAAAGAGCTCGATCTTCATGGCACTGGCACGTCTAGCAGACATCACGGCTGGGCAGATCACTGTTGACGGTGTGGACGTGACATCAATGCCGCTGCACACGCTTCGCGTGTGCATCGCGTGGGTGCCGCAGGAACCGAGCTTCTTTGCCGGCACCCTGCGCTCCAACCTGGATCCCTTCCAGCAGTATGGCGACAGCGAGGTGTGGGAGGCCCTGCGGGGCGTCGAGATGGCCGAGGCACTGGGGCGCGAGGGGCTGCAGCTCGAGATGGCCCAGCAGGGTTCGAACTTCAGCGCCGGAGAGCGACAGCTCCTCAGCCTCTCGCGCTCGCTCCTCCAGCGCCGGCGCATCCTCTGCCTGGACGAGGCCTTCGCCAACGTGGACTTCGCCACCGACGCGAAGGTCCAGAGAGCCATTCGGCGGCGCGCGAGGGAGGGAAATGAGAAGGAGAGGGCCTGCTCAGCAGGCGGCGGGACTTCTCAGAAGCCCCTCCTCCTCCTCCTCCTCCTCCTCCTCCTCCTCCTCCTCCTCCTCCTCCTCCTCCTCCTCCTACTTCATTCGCGGTCTTTTCCCAAACAAGTTTGAGCGCATTTTCGTCCGCAAGCCCCCTCACGCCTTCCGAGAGGTGCTCTGTGCCTTCGGGGCAGGCTCAGAAAGCTTCCCAGACGGCCCCCGGGGGACTGCCGAGCCTTCGGCGAAGGCCTTCTCCTCCTCACTTTGCCCCCCCCGGCCGCGCCGCCGAGCCGTTCGCGGGGCGACGCAGGGCCTCGGGGTCACGGTCCTCGTGATCGCGCACCGCCTGCAGACGCTGGCGGACGCCGGCCACGTCGTGGTCATGAGCGCGGGCCGCGTGGAGGAGCACGGCCCGCCCGCGGAGCTGCTGTGGAGGAACGGCGCCTACGCGGAGCTGGTGCGGCAGGCCGGCCTGGACGCGCCCGCGGCGCGCGTCGCGGGCCACGGCGCGGCTTCCCCCGCCGCCGCCGCCGCGGCCGCCGCGGGCCTGCGCGCGGCGCCGCTCGGCGGCAGCGGGGCCGCGCAGGGCCGCGAGGGCGGCTGCCTCTCCCCCACGCTGCGCGCCTGTGCCCCGCAGCTCCGGTGGGCCGCGCAGGCGGTCAAGGGCGGCAGTGCGTCTGGCCCTGCCTGCCTTCTTCGGGGAACAGGCAGTGTGGCGTACAGCCAGCCCGCATAGCAAGGATGAGCAACTCCAGACGCTCCGCGTGACCCCACCAGCCCCCCGTCGCCTTCGCCGCCGGCGCTCCCCGGTGTCGCCTCCGCTCCCCAGCCGTGGTCGTTCCAGGGTCCTCGTTCTCGCGCACGTTGGCTACATGAATCATGCTTCTCTTCGGCGATCTGGGTTTCTCCGTCGAGCGCCTGCACGCCCGCTCTTCGTTTTCGTCTTCTCCGCGGTGGTCTTCGAGTCTGCCGGCCCCTCCCAGCCGCGGCCGCACCACGGCCGCAGCCGGCCGCGGCTGGGAGAGGAAAAAAAAAACACCGCGAAACATTCGCAATAGTTTCTCCCTCCCAGCCGCGGCCGCGGCTGCAGCCAGAACTGCGGTTTTCGGTCGCAGCTCTGGTAGCAGACCCATCTCAGACGTAGAAGGCGCGAGGCCTTCCGACAGGCCCCGCGGCCTTCTGAGCAGGCCTTCCGACAGGCCCAGCTGCAGCACGTCTGCTTCAGTCGGGCCCTGATTAGGAGGTCGACCCTGCTAAATCAAGGGTACCCTTGTGTCCTGTGTCTCGCGGCCCATGCCTCCGACATTCCTGTGGCAATGTGGCCCTCGAAAGAGTCTTGTGTCCTCTCGCGTGTCCTGTCCAATCAAGTCCGACTGCAGGCCGGTGCAGGATGATGAGGAGAAGGAGGAGGAGGCGGAGGAGGAGGAGGAGGAGGAGCAGGAGGGGGAGGAGGAGGACGAGGAGGCGATCGGCAGGAGGAGGAGGAGGACGCGAGGCAGGTCTGCGCCGAGGGCGGGCCGCCGGCTCGCCGGCTGCCCGCGCCGCGGGAGCTCCGCCTCCTCGGCAGGGCGGCGGCGGACCCCCGCGCAGCTCGGCCACGCGCAGAGGTTCGAGGCTTCGAGGCTTCGAGGCTTCGAGGCTTCGAGGTCTCGAGGCTTCGAGGCTTCGAGGTTCGAGGCTCCCGGGGCTCGAGGCTTCGAGGCTTCGGGGCTCGAGGTTTCTCGAGGTTCTCCGGCGCTTTTTCGTCGCTTCTCGGCGGCTTTCCAGCCTCGGGATGCTGCTCTCCAGCGGCTGCGCCTCGCCGAGGGCGTTCTGGGGGTGTCCGGCTCGTCCCGAGCGGCGGCCGGAGGGCCGAGTTGTGGCCGAGGACCATCAGCAGCGCGCGGAGCAGGGTAGTCGGAGGTGGATAGACTTCCTACCCTGACACGTCGATTGAGGAATTGGGCGTTCTCGGTTCGCGAGAGGGCGCCGTGGCCGTCATTTTTGCGGGTCCTGGTCTGTCGGTTTCGGTCCCAGGCCGCTTTCACTAAGGGGAGGTTTGCTGAAGGGAGGTTTGTCCACCGCCGAGGTAGGGGGAAGGGGGGGGGCTTCTTAGGAACACCCCTGCTTCTCAGAAGGCGTGGGCCTTGGCTGCAGATGCAGGGCCGGCGCCTTCTAAGAAGCAGCCTCCTTCTCAAAGGCCCTCCCCCCACCCTCTTCTGCGCGCCGCCTAGTTGTGGGGGGCCTGAGTTTTTCTCCACGCCGACAGCGCCGATTCATCGCCGATGTATCGATGATTCGGCGCGATCATCTGACCCCATCTACTCCGACCACATCCAGGAGGCCTCTAGGAGATCTGCTTGAGTTTTCGAGAGCTTTCGGCACCCTTGGTGGCTTCCATAAGTTGTGGCTCGTCGAAGCCTTCAACAGTTTATATGTGGTTGTTGTCTTCTGGCGTCGAGATTCGAACATCGAGGTTCGAGGCGATTGTACTTTTTCATGTAGCTTTCTCTCAACAGAATCAGGCGACGCAGCAGGAATGATGACGACGACGAAGGTGGCGGCGGCGGCGGCGGCGATGACGGTACTACGACGGCAGCGACGACGCCATCTTCAGGCGGAGAGATGCGGCGGCGGGGGGGACGACGACGACGACGACGACGACGACGACGACGACGACGACGACGACGACGACGACGACGACGACGACGACGACGACGACGACGACGACGGCGACGACGACGACGACGGACGACGACGACGACGACGACGACGACGACGACGACGACGACGACGACGACGACGACGACGACGACGACGACGGCGGCGACGACGACGACGACGGCGACGACGACGACGACGATCGACGACGACTCCCTCTCCTCCGCCCCCCTCGTGCGCGCCGCCCCAGCCCACCCCCGCTGGGACGCGCGCGGGCGGCCTGCGCTCCGGTGGTTGGCGGCGCGCAGAGGGGGGTAGGGGGAGGGGGGAAGGCTTCTTAGAAGCACCCCTGCTTCTTAGAAGGCGCGAGCCTTCTCTATAGACGTAAGGCCGAGGCCTTCTAAGAAGCAGGGCGCTTCTAAGAAGCCTTCCCCCCTCCCCCTACCCCCCTCTGCGCGCCGCCAAGGTGGCCCCCGCCGGCCCCGCCGGGGGGGGGGGAGGGGGCAGCCGCGCCCCCCCCCTGCCGCCGATGTGCGAGAAGGGGCCGGTGCACCGGGGCCGCTGCGCGGGGGCCGCGGAGCTGCGCGGGGCCCTTCGTGTCGCCGCCGACGTCGTCGTCGTCGTCCTCGTCGTCGTCGTCGTCGTCCTCGTCGGTGTCATCGTCCTCGTCCTCATCCTCGTCCTCGTCCTCGTCCTTGTCCTCGTCCTTGTCATCGTCCTCGTAGTCGTCGTCATCGTCCTCGTAGTCGTCGTAGTCGTCGTCGTCGTCGTCGTCGTCGTCGTCGTCGTCGTCGTCGTCGTCGTCGTCGTCGTCCTTTTCGTAGTCGCCGTCGTCGTCGTCCTCGTCGTTGTCGTCATCGTCGAAGTCAGCGTCGACGTCGAAGTCGACGTCGACGTCAACGTCAACGTCAACGTTGTCGTCGTCATGTTGTTCGGACGGCGAGGTCTGCACAGGCTCTGGGAGGCCGCTCGTGTCAGGGGTAACGGTGCAGTCAAGACGCTGACGTAAGGGGCCCTGCGGGTTAAGACGGGGCTACGGTTTCCGGGCCGTTCCTCAGACTGCGGTCGGGAAACCCATTCGTAGCTGAGGCTCCACGTGGCCATAACAAAAGCCCCTGCGTTCCTTCTTAAGCGCTTCTTCTGGCAGCACGGCATGCGTCGACCGCCAAACGCCCATTCCTCGCCGAAGAGGCTTCGTAGCCCGCCCCGCCCAGGAACCTGCGGTTTCGCTATCAAGTGCTATCGCCGATCCATCGCGACGCATCGCCGCTCCCGAGTCGATGTTGCTCCCCTGAGCTGCCCCCCCCCAACACAATCGTTCCCCCTCGTCATGGGGCGAACGCTCATATCGGCTTCTGGGCAAGTCTTGATGCTCCGCGTACCCCCACCAGTTTTCATACCGCCCTTTGGACTTTTCCTTGCGGGCCGCTAGTCAAAAAAAGTACCCCCACCAGCCTATCCAGCAGTGATGCCCAGGCGAATCGACTTGGTCAGGGAAGCGGGGGGGCATACAGCGGGCCAAACCGAAGTTTAGGCTCAGTCTGAGCAGGCCCAGGAGTGAAGCACGTGTGCCTTCCGGGACCTGTCGAATGAGGAATGGCGACGGTGGCGGCGACGACGACGACGTACCCCCCACCCGACAGACACCTTCTGAAGACGGCCCGCCCTCCACGAGGGAAGCTCCTGGTGCGTTCTAAGCCTCGAGGACCACGAACGGCGGGGAGGTCTCGAGCGAAACGCCCAGGCCTGCCCCACCGACACGCCTCGGAATGGGACAGGGGGGGGAGTTATCTGGAAGGACGAACAAGTATTTGGAAGGAGGAGGAGGATGAGGAGGAGGAGGAGGAGGAGGAGGAGGAGGAGGAGGAAGATGAGGACGAGTAGGAAGGATGATAGAAGGTTTGTTTTATTTCCGCGTGGGCTGACGTCCAGCCACAGCTCCCATAGTGAAAGACGCCGACGAGCGACGAAGGGCCCGAAGCGACCGAATCGGGACGAGGGACGGGAGCCCAGAACCCAGACAGAGCCGACCGAAAGGACTGGCCGAACACACAGGACCGAAAACAACGAAGGCCATCAGTCGCCGCGCAGTGCACTACGTACAGCATTCGCATCTCTGGAGTCCCAGCAAGCGTTTTGACGGCATTTGCGTTGGAAGAACACTTTCGCGAGGCACACGCACGACACGATCGGGCGCGTACTCCCGGAAGACAATGAAGAGGCTCAGCAGGACCGGCGCCGTCATGGAGACCAGGCTCATCACGGACAGGCTTCACGGCACCGTGGCCACATACAGGTTATTGCAAGGCCCCCTACTCCTCCTCCTCCTCCTCCTCCTCCTCCTCCTCCTCCTCCTCCTCCTCCTCCTCCTCCTCCTCCTCCTCCTCCTCCCCCTCCCCCTCCCCCTCCCCCTCCTTCTCCTCATCCTCCTTCTCCTCCTCCTTCTCCTCCTCCTCCCCCTCCCCCTCCCCATTTATCACATATCAGCCAGGCACGGGGGATCGCCTGGCGCGCAGACCACCAGGACGCTCCGTGTACCGAATGACGTCCATCATCAGGAGGTTCGCTGTCGGGATGCTCTCGACCCCATCTAGAAGCTCATGACGAGCAGTCTCCGCAGGTCCACCACCGTGAGGGAGACCAGGACGCTCTGGAAGAAGACGCCCTTCACTTTCAGACAGCAATGGAGCCCCAG